TTCATAGCTTCGAACACCATTTGCAATTTACATCGGGGCTGTCCGTTAAGATCGCGTGTTCCGGAAGAATCCAAAATGTCCAATTAAGATATCGAGACGGATCATTGCGTGATCCGTTCGCACCGAATCCGTCTGCAATGTTTTTGCTTTTCCTTTTTTTGTCAATTTACACGAAAAAAAAAAAAAGAAGAACCGACGAGTATCTGAAATTTCGTACGAAACAAGAACTCACGGCTCGTACGCGAGGCGATCGTCGCGCGAGCGGATCAACGAGCGAGTCGAGTCGTCTCGCGTCGGGAAGCCGAGAGACAAGTCCCCGATTTAAATACTGGCAAAAAGATTAAGTATTCTATGGTGGTGCTACAATAATTTATTACTGGTAGAAAAAATCTTACAAAACAATTCTCGGACGAGATAGTCGTGTTTGAGAATGGAGCGCGTGTGCGTTCGGTCGCGCCGATGGGCGCTCTCCACTGTCAAGCGAGACTCAAACGAGCGCGGTATTACAAGAGGTAAAAAAGCCTTAAGAGGAAGAAGAAAACGATAAAAAAAAAGAAAGAATCTCGATCTTAGAAAATATCCATCGTAAAAAATCTCAATGCTTGGTCCGGTAAAGACTAGTCGATTACCTCTTTAGTGCCGGAATAAACCTGAAACTTATCCGTATCGACGATACACAATAATAATAATAATAATAATAATAATAATAGTAATAATAATAATAAAATACCAATGTCAATAATAATAATAATCGTGTTGTTGATAATAATTATGATGATGATAATAATAATAATAATATTAATAATAATAATAATATTAATAATAATAATAATATTAATAATAATAATAATATTAATAATAATAATAATATTAATAATAATAATAATAATAATAATAATAGTAATAATAATAATAAAATACCAATGTCAATAATAATAATAATCGTGTTGTTGATAATAATTATGATGATGATAATAATAATAATAATAGTAATAATAATAATAATAGCCTAGCTATACATAATTAACGCAATATTCATGAATATGTCTTATGTGAGGCTATCGTGAAATTACCGATGCTTTCCGGGACGCGATTTCGCTTGGGAATGCACAAGTAGAATGGCGTACAAAGAGAGAAGCCATGTAGGAGGATCGAATGAGAAAGTAATGCGGGGAGGGTGGGGAGGAAGGGTGAAAGGTGAACAGAGAGCGAGATTTTCTTGGAGATGCGATTGGCTACGCAGAAAGCATCGGCACGCGAGCTCGCCTATAGCGATCGATGCCTCGAGGAGATCATTTGAAAGGTGATTAAAATTAAATGTTACAATTACGAACTTAATATACGTAAGGCGAACTAAAACTGCGAAACACAATAATAAATGCAAATATAATCGATCGTGTCTTAGATGGAACGCGGGTGGATGGGGATAGTGGGTGAAGTGGGTGAAGTGGGTGAAGTGGGTGAAGATGGGTTGGAGGGATAGGGGTAGGGGTGGGGTTTCGTGTGAAAGTGACGGGTATATTACAATATTCATATGATTAATCGTTATCATAATTAGATATTTATTAATAATTACGAGATCACAGTGACGCTTTGACGCGCGGGGATCTCGGGTGGGCGGGCTGCTGTCTTTTGTTTCTTTACTTTCGTATGTTTTTTTTTTTTGATATTTTCCACTTTCGCGTATCGTCCAATTTTTTTATCTCTCTCATTCGAATTACGCGCGCTCGAGATTACCTCGATATTACACTTCGCGACGGACCCTTCGTCGTCCAAGTTCGAAACGTATGATTTTAGGAAAAATTTCGACTGGTTTTGTTTTTTTTTTTTCGTCCACGCGTCACGCCAACGTCCCTGGGGTACGGGAGCGCATCTTATAATGTAAAAACAATTTTACAGCCTGCCCCCCACGATCCACATAGTCACAGTTACAGCTTATATCCCTCCTTCGACGTACAACCCTCGCTCTGTTTCGCACTTGCGCGCATGCGCACAACACTTGTCACAAGGATCGGCGCGTCGCAAAATTTCCTCATTGCCGAACAACTCGTATCGATCTATCGCTCGCAATCCTTCGCTTTAGTTCTTTAAGTTTCTTCTTAATCTTTCTTCTTCCCCCCCCCCC